TGGCTTTTGGATTTTACATGAATGTGTCCAGTCCAGGGAACTGCAACCTTGACTATTATATAATTATGTTGGTGCTTAATTAAGATTCAATGTGATATAACATTGTAGGATGTGAAGGGCAGATACTATCATGTTATAGAGAAACTATCTAGACTGTTTGATCTGCTCCCAAGCTTTCATGAATCTTATGTACCCAAAACTGGTGTTTATATTAAGCTCTTTTTACTTTTAAACCTCCCCTTCACTGTGATAGAGTATTAACTTGCCATCTTTGGTGGAATGACAATTGAAAAAGGCTCGTACTGACCGATCATAGTTCAGGGGATCTTTGCTCTGGGTTTTTTGGCTTGACCTTTTACTATAGAATCATAGAAATCACTTTCAAAATTCAACGATAAAGCTGTCTTGAAAACCTTCTCAAGGTGTAGGGGTTTTGCTTTTCAGGGAGGGTTCTGGTTTAGCTCATTGTAAATATGGCAACTAGACATGGTTTGTGAACTGGGGAGCCAGAGCACTGTATGTCCTTTGAACATATATGTTGCATGCCCAGAGGTTTCTCTAAACCCATCTCTTAGCACTACCTTCATGTTTTTCTGAACTGGCTTCACCATCCATGTAACTGGTATGATTCTACTTCCTGACATGAAGATGGATTTTCAAATGCATGCAATGTTTACCCAGCTCTGTTCCTATTGAAAAAAAATGTTGAAGCCCCCATATATTTTGACTTCGTGGCATGGTTGCTTGTGATAGCTGGAGACTCAATGACCCAAGAGAGAGCCCTTTCCACTCCTGAGTTCCTATGACTTCCATGAGCTAGAAGAAGACTGATTTTGTAAAAAATCACTCTCTCACCCTTGCATACTCTAACAAAAGAGCATCTGAAAGGCAGAGGCCCTCTCTGCGTGGGACATCCATAATTTTGCAATAAAAGCTACAGAACTGTCTGGATTCAGACCACTATAATTATGCAACGAAAGCAATTGCTAGAATGTGGCTAGGAAGGGCAGAGTCCAGCCTATATATAAACCAGTAATCTCTCCCATGCTCATTAGGTGCACTGTGTATGTTCAACAAAATAGTACAAGTATGGACCTATGTGCCTTGTAAAGATATTCAGAGAAAAAATTAGGTTGGCCTGGGGGAAGCCACTACTTTTGCTTGTACACAGTTGAGTGGGTGTGTATGGACTACCAATAAAGCCAGTTCAATTGCCAGGTGGGAGGAAGGAAGGAAGGAAACTACTAATTGGCTAAACTAGTGGTTAGCCACTAGCTGGCAGCATTCAAAGCACTGCAGTTGGTAGCACTGCATTTAAATGTCTTGCCACCCAAATGGTCAGTGTGGTTTTTGTGTTTATCTTTATTGGAAAGCAGCAGGTAGGGAGGTGCTAACAGAGCAAAGACAAAAGTAATTTTTACAGATTTGATCTGAGATTTGGAAATCATCCCCGTAGCAGCTGACAAAGCAGATTGTCACCGATGAAAACTCGTGTCTGTTTGGACCAGTTAGTCTCTAAGATTCCACCTTGCCCTACCTTGTACTTGACTTCAGACTAATTCATTTACCTACCGTTCTATTCCCAAAATAGTGAGAGAGCAAAGGTAATGCAGAGGTATAAGGCAAAGCAATCAAGAGTCATCTTTATGAGGTTTAATAGAGGACAAAGAAAGTAGCTGAGATGACGACAATATGCCATGTGAGATCATTGCACTATATATCTAGTACTGGTGTCAAAGCAATCATTGAATTTTCTATATTTTAAAATGATATAAGATATTTGTTCACTCCAAAGAGGCAGATTAAATCAAGTACCCATGGACTTTTAGGAAAGATAAATAAGAAACCTGCACTCCTTGTTTCACTCAAAGGTAAATACAAACTACAAAACATATTGATAATAATGATGCTTCACACTGGCAATCTTCATCTAAGCATCTCAAAACACTCCTGTTAAGAAATTAAGACTCATTGTTGCTCTGTCTTATAGATATAAATCTATAAAATTATAAATATAAATCCATGAATGTAAAGTAACTGTCCACTTTTTGTAGAATTGTCCCAGGAAAAGATTCAGAGCAGCAGACTTTGACTCATCGAGGGTAGTTTATGCATGCTTTGCATATGGACAAACTGAGATTATATGATTTAATTCCAGTCACACAATTAGTCAAGAGAGGTTGACTTCCAAGTGAACGTGCTCTCTCTCTTTCTCTTTTTCTTCCATAATCAGTAATTTGAAGCTTTGTGTTCATAGCTAGACACACTACCAGATCCCCTCTGTCATATCTCAGTTATTGGTGCTGTTTGTTTTTCAAAATTAGAACATAATTATTATGTAAAATATGTCACTTAGTCATGTTGCTACATTTAATTTTTTTTGGTCAATGCAGTAAAAATAGTTAAATGGGAATTGAACACATGAACACACCCCCACATACCAGCTGAAAAATAAAACCTGGAAAACTTAAGACATGAATACTGAATAGTGCAAGGAAACAACCATTGGATCAGATTATTAAGAGAAATGGTAAATTCTCCATCACTTGGAGGCTTTGAATGAAGCCTGGATTAACTCAAAAATTATGCCTTAGTTCAACTCTAAGTTATTGAGCTAGAAGTAGGAATCCAAAGATGAAATGCTCTGGCCTGCATTGTGCCTCCTGACATTAAAAGCTGTGAGGTGTCACACATCATAGGATGCTAAGATTTGTTGCATGATTCAGATCTTTGTCACGTGTCTGGCCCTGGCCAGTGCTTTGGGGTGGTTAGAAACTGAAGCCTAATAGTCTCATGTTGTACAATACAAGGAGAGTCAGGGGAATTGTTCCTTCTCAGGTTCCAAATCCCCCTGGGTATATTTCTAGTGACAATTCAACAAGTTTGTAACATAAAATAATGGAAGGACCTTTTCAAAATATCACTATATTTTAAATAAATTAGGGACTATGTGATCCATTACTGTAGACAGATATTTCCAGAGGTAATGAAAGGAATACAGGAGAAGGTTCGTTGGGGTTGGGCATACGCAGCTCTTCCTGGCCTCTGGGTTCACTCTTGTGCGAGGGAGGTGTGGAGTTGGGATTGCGGGGGGAGAATGGGTGCAGTATGTGGATTCAGCATGGCCTGAATTCATCATACATTGCCCCTGAAGAGTGAAAGTCAAGAAGCTGCAGAAGCTTCTGCGACTGAGAGGCAATAGTAAGTTTCTGAAACAATTGTGGTCCTCCCAAAAAACACCCAGAGCCTAGCCTGACTGCTGGCCAGAAAGCTTAAGTGAGAATTTGCCCCTTAATGAATGGTAACTTGAAGCCAAGTGCATTTTGGCATAATAATCCATTTTATTTTATTGATCACACACTATTCTGGCTTCCCAGCCTGTGCCTTGCTCTTGATTTATTTAGTGGTTAAAGGGTCTGTGTGCAGGGAAAGCACTGGGCTGTGATCTTTATCCTTTGTTACTAATGCCATCTTATATTTTGAAAAAAAAAAGGAATTTTATAAATTAGATTTACTTATCATTGTTTATATCCATTGTTCATTTCTTACTATATGAACAGGGGAACTAGATTGGCCTATCACCACTTTCACTTCCTGGGTCCTATGAACTAGCAAAGTGTTTCCATGCTAGGCTTTCCAATACTGCATGCCTTTTTTTAGCTGAAGACTTCTCTGGAGGATGCAGGGACCAGGCCTGCAGGGAGTGAGAAAAGAAAATCCTGGCCACTTTTATGGGCTGTCCATATATGAAAGAGCTAAAATAGCTCTTTACAGAAAGGCATGCAACTGCAAAATGTGCTTGCACTTACATCTCGCATGGTAGGCAAACTCAAACAACAAGCAACAGAAAATCTGCATCTGGATCAGCTTTTTCTTCACCCTACAATTACATGAAGAGGGTAATGCCTGGCTTCCTTTTGGGACTAAACATGCCACAGTGGGAGCTCTTTGCATAATATGCTGAACTGGTGAAAACAACCAAAGTAATTAAAGGGCTTTTCCCTCCTGTTCCTTATTGCTACTTCTGTCTGTAAAATTAAATAAGACCCACAGAAGTCATTTTAATTTATTGGTGTATGCAAACAAAATTCCAAATGTGCGTGTCATATTCCTTTGAAATGCCCCTAGGATTGCAGGCAGAATGGAGGAGAAACTTGTGTAAAATATTTGAGCCCATGTTAAAAAAGAAAAAGAAGAAAAAGGAGAAAGTTAAACAATAAATCCATTTTTGGTGATGTTATGAACATGCTTTAGGAATCCTTAGGTGAAATTCAGTGGCTTAGTTACACAGGCTACAATGATCAAAATGGTCCAAATTTACAAACTATGACAAATTCTCATAATTCTTGATCTGTTTGGATAAAGTGTTAAACAAATTCTTTATGAGACAAATTTTCATAAAACTTGATCTCAGTTTGGATCAAGTGTTTGCCGTTTCAGTGAACTCAAGGTGTAGATGTTTTAGGAGCAGTTGAATGACTAAGCACCCATTGTTCCATGTTCAATTTGATTTAAGCTCTGAGAAGCTGAAGTGCCGCTGACGTGCAGTTTGACTTAATGCTTTTAAGAGCCAGATTTACACAGGTACTTAGGCACCTGCTACGATTTACAAGCAATTTAGCTCCCTTACTCCCATTTATTTTCAGTCAGAGTGTGATGTCTACTTTGTTTAGGCACTTCTGTAAATTCCAATATGACCTAGATCCTCGAAGTCATTCACACATCTAACTCCTAGTAAATGCCTCCCATCTTAATGAAGGGGAATAAGGTGCCTATGCACCTGTCCTCATCTTTTGGTACAGAAATGCCTTCATAAGTCTGGTCTTAAGACACTTGAAAATGAAACTTGGACTCCAAAGTAAATTTGATGCTTCTGAAAATGTTACCCAATGTCTTCTCATTCAAAGCATAGCTAAGGCCTACTATAGTGCCATAGTATTTTTTCTTCTGGACTGGTGTTTGCCTCTGAAGTTTGAACTGGCTTATGCTTCATTTCACAGTGTCTTTGGACATGTGGCATCTCTTGGATACATCTTCTGTACTCGTCGACTCATCCCTTGTGAACTTTGATGTTGTACAAGTCAGCAGAGATAATTCTGGTAACTTCACCGCTGCCAGAGACATTTGTCTGTCAGGTGAGGAATGTCTTCCTTATCTTTATCTTCAAAGCATGTGATGTATTGATTCATGACAATGAAGCATATCACTGAAAACATGACTCCATAGGTCATGAAGGACATAGGCTGCAGAAGGACAACCCAAAGCATCTTTCCTGGCAGGTTTGGCATGTGTATGCAAGAGTAGATGAGTGGGGGAAGAGTAGATGAGTGCGGGAAGGTTCGGTGGCCTCCTGGTCAGGTCTTATTGTGGCTATGGTGTAGGTATGCTCTGTAGGACCTGACTCCCATAGCGAGTCAGTGAGAGTTGGACCTGTTACTTCCCTTTTCTATCTTTGCAAATCTCCCCTCAAGCTGTGCGGAGGGAGGGAGTTAATATCCTGAAAACACGCAATATCTGTTCACTTTTCTTGCTTTCTTTCTGTTTAGTTTTCTGCCTCACTTGCTTTCATGGTTTTGCTGTCTCTCTCTCCACAGCCTGTTCAAAGAGCCAGTCCTGCATAGTGGTTACCCTCGAAATCCAGCTCTCCACAATCCGATGCATTTTCTACCCTGATACAAAGATATGCACACATGGCCTGCAAGGTCACAGCTGTCGAATTTTACTCAAAGAGCCAGCTACTTACATCTATCGGAGACAAGGTGAGTGCAAGGCAAAATGTCATAGAAGTAGGCTCAGTCTTGGTAGTTTGTGACCCATTCTTGCACATGAGAAAATGGCTTAAAATTTGTTAGGGACATAACAGCCTTACAATATATGAATATGAACAGTATAGTTCTACCTATCTAACATTCATGGGACAGACTTGGTTTTGGTGAAGATTATGGTTCAGGCAATGAGCATGTGAAAGTGTCCCAACATCTTTTTATGGCAAAACACAAAATTGTATTGTGGTGCTTCATTGCAAGAGAGCTATGCAACAAGTTTGGTCTGTGAAGGAGTCTTTGAAAGGGGAAGAAAATTGAAAGGGGAAGAAAAACTCATAGGAATGGAATTCTAGTTCTCTAAACCTGTGACCCCAGTTGCTTCATTTCTGTCTTTCATCTACTGGCACATATCTAAGATTAACACAGGGGATAATCGAAAGCCCACTATAGGTTATGGAAGAGCTCTGTGGAGCTTCTCTGATAGTCCAAAGCCAAATTACTATATGCACTCAAATCCAAGATCCACCCCACCCCCCCCTGCATTCAACAAAGGGGGTGGGAAAGCTACTCATCTTAAATTCAACTACAAGTGGGGCAGGGTGCAGCAGCTGGGGCTCCAAGTTTGACCATGATCCAGGTTGGATTTGGAGCTGCAGCCACTGCCCCCACACCACCCCAACCTGTCCCCTGCAGCCTCTGCTCCCTGCATTCACTGCTCACCTCCCCGTCATAGCTCCAGTTGGGACCCACTGCAGCCTGGAGCAGGGAGCATAGAGCAGATGGTGCCTCTGGCTCCAACTCTGCCATAGGCAGCAGGGATCGGGGGAGGTGGTGGGGAGGGGGTAGGTGGCAAGGGTTGCAGGCACCCCAGCAGAGAGCAGGTGCAGGGCAAGCGGGTCCTGGGCTGGTGCAGGCCACAGGGGTGGCAAGTAGTGGAGGGGTACAGATACCAGGGGCTGCCCGCACTGCAGGGAGGAGCAGGTACTGGGAGAGCAGGGGAAGTGGTAGGGGGCTGGGGACCATGGGGCCTGCAGGTGCTGGAGACAGGAAACGCAGCAAGGGGAGCCAAGTGGTGGGGTGGACAGGTAGCATGGGACAGGAGTCAGGCCACTTAACCCCCTTGCCACTGCTTGTCCCACTGTAGTAGTTTAATTGTCCCACTCCAATAATTAGATTCTGTACGTGGACAATTATAGCAAATGTATGGATTCTCCATGTGCAGAATCTAATTACTAAGGGGTTGTCTTAAATTCAAAGTCCTATTGAATTCATGTAAATACGATACATTTATTGATCAAGTAAAAACCGGTTTGAAAAAGGAATGAAAGTTTCATGGACTACCACCAGTACTCACATAGAGCTATCAAATCTATCAGAATTTTAAGCAAATTTATTCTTGCTTTTATTACAGCTTTTTAAAATCCCCCCCTTTTACTTTGGTTTAATGCTGATAGTTGTTTTTTTTCAGTTTTACAGAAGTAATGAGAAACCAGGTTAGATTACTGGAAAAAAGGGAACTAGGGGGTGTATTTTATTTTCTGTTCGTTGAAGTCTTTGGGCAGAATTTGCAACAAATGAAACCAAATTAAAAGCGGGCATGTTAAAACTGACCTCATTTCTTGAAAAATCTATGCATACTGTATTGAGTGAGTCGTGAGTACAGTCGGCAAGTTTAAAGCTATGTTCTGTCTTTTGGATGCTCATACACAAGGGCAACTGTAGCCATCCAAGTTTAGAGTTTGGACCTGAACCCTAATCTAAATTCTGTTTATAAGAATTGGTCCCACTGACTTTCACTTTCTTTTAAAGTGGGGCTTTGCACATCACTGATTTTTCAGTTCAAAGTCTGATAAACCAGAGAATTAAAAAAAAAATGTTTCAAGTTGATCCAGAGTTTTCCATGTATCAGATTTCAGATAGAATAAAACTTGTTTTGATCTAAAATCATCATCATTATGACTAAAAGCCAAAGGGCATATTTACAAACCCAGCAAAGAGGAGGTTGTCTACAGCCAAAGGGGTCAGGACACAATCATCTGTGATGTGAGATAGAGATTAAAAAACCTTTTCTGCTTGATTTAGAGCAGAGTTTTCAACCAGCCTTGCCCTCCTCCCATGGTAGTAACCGCTGGGCCATAGGGTATCCTGAGATGGGTACTTCATTTTCTCATGCTGAAGCTGTTCTACTTTGTATAAAATAATTAAATATTCATTGAAGAAGGCACTGGAGAACAGGCCTGCCATCTCTCAGCTGTCTCCTCACCATTGGACAAAAGACCTATTCTCCCTCCCTCTCTTTCTCTCCGTCTTTCCATTTCCCTTTCCCTTCGCTTCCCCATCTGGCCTACTGGATATTTAAGATTTGGGTAATTTGTATTCAAATAATGAAAATATTCTTAGGTTAATTTTCCGATACACTAAAACTGCTCAGAAGAGAGATTTGTTTTCTGGTGTATTCGCTTATCTGGAAGAGATGCTAAGAGTTAACGACTGGAAGTACAGTATGATGGCATCTGTATGCAGCACCTAATATCTAATGCCATGTAAAATATAAGTAAAAAGCAGTCGTCATCAGAAGTGACTTAGATGTTTAAGGACCAATAGCATTGAAAGTTAATAGAAATTTGGGTCCAAAGTCATTTTTGAAAATAAGACGTAGACTTCTAAAAGCCCTTGAAAAGTTTCCTAAATTAATAAGGACAATGATTTTTTTTCCCCCCTTCTCTCAAATAGATTTGTTCCTACCTATCTCTGAGCCTGGCGTAACCTCGGTGAACATCCCATCCCAGGGGTTGTTGATCGGCAGGTCCCGAGCAATCCGCATTGGTGCAGAGTGGAGAAGTGTCAGTCGGTTCCTTGGAATCCCGTACGCCGCACCGCCAGTAGCAGAGAACCGGTTTCGTCCTCCGGTACCGTTTACTTGGCTGGAATCCTGGAATGCCACCATGGCTCGGTGAGGAGGCCACAGGAGTTTTTGATCCTCTGCAAAATTCTTTGTTTCTGTCACTTCCATAAGCCCATTCAGAAACTCGGCTTCTACCGTAATGAGCACGATATACATGCTGTTACCTGCAAAAGACAATAGGGTGCATTGTTAAATGTAGGTTTGAGGCAGCGTGTGCTCTTTTTGGCACATGTATGTAATAATTTATTAACCCACCCATTATTATATTTATGTACGGAAAAAATATCTTACGGTATGCAGTACCCCAAACCTGTATTTAGCCATACTCTGTTTATTGCAAATAATAATCAGTTTCTAAATTACTGTCATTCCATTTTACCTCTTACTTTTTTTCAGCTATCTCCTACATTTCAGTCCTGGTGAGTTTGGAAGGAAGTTAACGTAGTGTAGTTTTTTGGCACGTTGCATTTGTAGATGCTGTAGCTCAAGCAGAAGTTATCAGCTGCATACAAAAATGGCTGGTGATATTTTCTCAGCAGTGGTCTCCAGGAAGAAAAGCTAGATAACCTTAATGTGGCCCTTCTGCCTTTAAGGTCTATTAAAATGCAAGCATGGATTGAAATAGTCCAAGTAAAAGCACAATTCTGAAACCTCTTTGTAATGAACAGTTCAAGGGAGTATTGGACAAGGTACTTTATGGAGGTTCATTCCTCTGTGGACAAGGTCATTGATTAGTATGCCAGGAGAACCAAAGTGGCAGGTGAATGATTAATAAAAGAACAAACATTCTGATCAGCTGTATAAAATATCAATGTTTCTGGAACCTTGGAGGGCTGCATATGTGCAATATGGAAAAACAACACACACACCTGACAGCAGATACGTATTTTAACAACTTGCTATTGTGTACCTGGGCAATGCTTTCTTGGTCCATTAAAGAGAAAGCAAAATACAAAACACTTGAAACAAATCAAATTGAACCACTCTGCAAGGCATTGGTATGGGAGGAACTTTGTCAGCCTCCCCATCAACTAAAGAGATTAGTTCACAGCTGCTCTAAAATATGGCAAGGAAAGAGAAGACACAAAAAACAGGAAGCAAGCTAACGAAAGGGACAAAGACCAAGCGAAGGGTCTCAGCAAAACTTTTTGAGTGGGAGTTCAAGTAGTAAGGGCTGTAACCAAGTCTGATAATGACTGAGGCTAAGAACGAAGAAGGGACTTGGTCTGGCCACATGGAAGATAAAGAACCAATTGGGATGTTTGTTAACAAGGGATTTTAATTAACACACTGAGCAAGCAAATCTCAACGGAGAAACTTTCTCCTGGGGTGGTTAAAAGCATTATGACCTTTGGTGGCATGATGTTTCAGCATGCACCTGATACATGGCAGACATGAGGGTGTATGAAGCATAACCACATTAGCCGCAGTTTGGCATACGTTGGAAGGATCTGATAAGATGTAGCTTCTTGTTTGTTCAGGTGCATTCTGATGCCAGATTCACACGCACAGTCTGTTGCAGTAATACATGTGCAGCTTCTTTGTGCCTGTGGCTGTAACACCGTGTGTTATCATCTTTGGTCACAGCTATCTGCTCCTGCACTCTCCATTTGAAAACCATCTCTTGCTTCTGCATGAAGAATTTGTCTGTGATTTGCCAAGCAGTTTAGGGTTATCCAGTGCACATATCCAGGGCACATAATTTCAATTTTCAGGGGTTTCTTAGCCTGCTGAAAGTCTCAGTTTTTCTCCTTTATTATTTGTGGAGGATCAAAGTCCTTGTTGTTAACTACAGGAGAATCCCAGGGACCTTGATATGCAGATGTGTTCGTGCATTTAGTGGATGAAGGTCATTGCAACTTTAAGGACTATGTGTACATCATCACAGCAGTTTTTTCCTCTATAAAACCAAGATCAAATTAGCACAGTTACTGATATAGGAGATTCTCCATAGACGTTAATTTGTCAGGGTTGGCTCTGATCTACATTTGGATGAGAGACTTGTGAAAAATGGCTGCTTGCCACATATATATCAAGATCCATTTGCTTCATGAACCTCGGTGGTGTCGATGCAGTAGGTGGCACTGTTTCTTCTGCGAATTCTGCTGGAGTCGTTTTGGGTTTTTTTGATGAGATATTGTCCTTTTTACAATGAGGCTCTGACTCTTGCTGAGTATTAAATATCCCATAGGACTTTTTCATGATTCAATTTGGAAACTTGTTTGTCCTGCCCAGGGATTTTGATTTTACCCATCTAAAATTTCCCCTGCAATAGATCTAGGATGTGTGCTGTTTTACTTTCTGTGATGAACTGTTCCATGGCATTGCTGTTACACAGCTCCCCTATGGAAAATCCTGTAGAGTGTATTAAAAGAGGGTCAATTTTGAACTAGCCTTAAAAAAAATGATCAGGGAATTATATCGCCAGAGCCGGATTCTATAAGATGATATACTGGTAGAAACAGAGATCACTAAAATCTTAGTGGACTGTAAAATGTAGAGTTGTTTCTGTAGAATGTTATTGGTTCCTTCCCTATTGATTTTTTTTAAGGATTTTCCATAATGTTAAGCAGTGCAATGTGGATGCATTTCAGTACTGACGAAGGGTTTTTAAACCTGAAAGTTTGCTAAATTTTTTTTCCAACTATTTAAGTTGGTCTAATGAAAGATATCAGATTTGTCCAAAGAACCTTGTCTGCCTAGTACCTGGGTCTCGCATCAATCTGACATTAGTATCCAGGTGTCGATGTTTTCGCAAACGGAAGAAGTCTGTTTCATAGGGATCTCGGAGAGAACATGTTTCATGTGATGGAGAAGACATGGAGGTAGCTGGCTAAATTCTTTAATACTGCTGGGATATATATCATATTGTCAGTGACTTGTTAGAGCATCAACAAAAATAGATAGCTATTTATTTTATTTTGTACTGTTTTAAATCTGCATCTCTAATATATTCTTCATCTGCCTCAGAATATTTTTATACAAGTGGTAGGGGTGTGTTTTGGACCCACAGATGCAGAAGTCCTAGAGAAGTGTAAAAATTGCCTTTAAATTTCAAGCTCAACAGGGACTGAAATGCAACCTGTGCAAAAGTAATTCAGGTTTTCCAGCCATAATCAAAACAATCTCTGTCTTTAGAGCTGCTTGTTGGCAACCTGGGGATGGAGCTGTTCAGGCATCTATTGTCAGTGAAGATTGCTTATACCTGGATGTGTTTGTTCCTGCCGACACTGTAAGTATTGGTTGACTGGAACAACGTGTAACAAACTGTTGTTTGATTTGAAAGTATTTTTCACTGCCATATCACATAAGGTGACAATGCCCTGCAGCCATAAGCTGCTTAACCCCTGCTTCTGCTGCCAGAAGGCTGTTCACTAGGGTGTCATGAGTTGTTTCAGACATAGGTCATTTTTATTGTGGGATCAGCTATGCTGGATACGCTCCAGAACAGCTGTTCCCAATTGATTAGCAGGTACAGAGGTTGCTTGGGGCTGTTGTCCTGTAGGATTATGCCCCTGTCACCCTGGATTTCAGGAGCCTCATCCTATGGACAGAGGCCCTGGGTGCCTGGTCCCCAATGGGGTTCCCTGTTCTGCACTTACAGACATGTGTCCTGGGGTGAAAAGTAGCCAGTATTGGTGGGGGAGGCAGTGGCTTGTCAGATGCTGGGGTCCCCTGCCCCACCATACTGCTGGGAACAGGCCTCCAGATGCCTTTTGCAGTGTCCAGGGACAAACTAATATCACATCTTTTGTGGCAGCCAATTTTGGGCTTTGTTCCAGGACATCTCAATGGGATCTGCTCTGTCCCAGGACTTAGCTGTTTGTCCTGCCACAAAGTCTGTTTCTACCCTGTGTCCGCAGAGTAGGAAATGCAAAGGACTGAAGGGGGAAGAGGAGGGAATACCGGAGATAGGGATGAGATGAGGAGAGGGAGAGAGAGAAAGAAAATGTATGGTGTCACTAAAGGTGAGACTGTTTACCCATTGGAGGATATTGCATGCAACATGATGCATCTTGATGATGAGAACCAACAGTTTAGTTACTATGTATGGGCCATATTTTTCCTTTGATCTATGTATGAACCTCCTGTTAACATCTGTGGGAGGCCTGGTATGGAATAAGAGTAGCAAGCAGTGCTAAATTTATGCCCCAGCCCACAAAAATGGCTCTATTTAAAAATGAGCATGACATGGCTGCACGAAGACAAGTTGACAGCTGAAAATGTTGTGTGTGTCCTTATAAAAGGTAAAAGTAAGTCTCCATGTTGGGCTTGGTATTATAAGTGTATTGGTTATGATGGATTAACCTGGAAGGGGGGCTTGGATTTACATCCTGATATAAGAAAGTATCTGCCATACAAGAATCTATTTTTATATTCAAAACTGTTTGTGCCTCCCTGTGCATAAGCTCATGTATATTTTTAGCCTGGCCCGCAACCTATCTGCTTTCTGCAACACCAGATTATCATCTATTTTCTGTGCAAAGTCACCCCTGATAAAAACCGTTAGGTCATTTTTCCTGGCGGAGTGTTGCATTAAGGAGAGAAGATGCTTGTTTGAAAGAATTATTTTCCAAACTATTGTTTTTTTTTCCTTAACCGTGGGCTTAATTTTCCTGTTTTCTTGTGTGGAAATCCAGTGTGAGATGACTCAAGCTCCCTATTTTCACTGCAGTTGGAGGCAGCAATGCATGAGGGTGTTTTTTTAAGTAAAACAATTTTGTGTGCGTTTACTGGGCTACATCACTTCTCTGTGTAGTCATAAATGATGACTGTGTTCAACTGTGCCGCCATCTGTGTTCCCCGCTGCTGTGAAGTTTCCCACTTTGTCTCAGACATAAGCGTGGGCAGCCGTCTTGTCGTTAGCGTCTGCAAGACCCTCAATCTACCACAGGGACAGAACTTTCTTGTTCCTTATCATGGTAAATAGTGTTACGTTAATCCACCTGCAAAGAACTATTACCCACATTTTCAGTCTAGAGGAAGAAAAAGCAACAAACCAATGTTGGGTATAAAGTCCTCGGAAGTGGCAGAGAACGCAAGCTCATGCTATAACATAGTAATATCTGAACCAAATAATAGTATAATAATACTCATGCTAAAACATAGTAATATCTGAACCAAACTGCCCCAAAAAGGGGCTCCTATATTTAAAGATCCAGTCCGGAGAAAACAGAATGACATCACCTCCTTTTGGTTCTTCAGTGACATGCAGTACATAAGCCTCCACCTCAGCTGAGTGTTTCTGAGTTACTTTTTCCATCAGTAACCACCCCCACCTGCCAGACTAGCAGGGAAGGGCTGGGTTTCAGCTTGATTTGCAGAGAATTCAACTGCAAAGGGAGTGGCACTAAATAAAGATTTGAGAGAGTCTCCTTCTCGTTTCCATCCCTGCTGTGCAGTCACTGTGGTTTATACCTCCATGCAGTACTGGTCCAGGGTGGACACTGGTTGGCTCTGTAGGAGTTGAAATGAGCCTGCCCACCTACCACTGAAGTGTCTTGCACTGGCATGGACAGGGCAGTGGAAACTGGTGCTGAATCCGAGAGGACCTTTCAGAAATTCTTATTTTTCTTGTTTCCACAAAACCAGTGGGATTATTGCTTAGCCCTAGCACAATGGTTAGGTGCTGGTGGTAGATGCAGGAAACTAGTGATAGTCCTCGTGGTTGTATTCGGCCACTCATCAGTGTTAGTACCCAAGTTGTGTCTGTAGAGCCCAGCTCTGCAGTCACACTGTAAAGTCCCTGAAATTCCAATGTGTTCTGGTCCAGGGCTTTGGGTTTGATTCCTCTTAATCTGTGCTCAGTTTTAATCTAGCTCCAAACTTGTCCAAAGTTCAAGAATTTGCAAGCCTGGGATTTGCTTAGCCCCATCTCTGCAAAGAACCTGCTCGTGTAATACTTCTGGGAGGCCTCTCTCCTTCTCTTGACTTCTTTTTTAAGATTTGGCTTTCATTTTGGGCCCAGTCCTGCAGTGTGCAGTACCCAAATCAGGAGCAATAAAGGGGTTGTGTACACAACAGGCCACTGAAACTGCCAGCTGGTGGCCATATAGTGAAAAAAGGATGTAACCAGGTAGGGAGGACCCCAGCTAATGCGTGTGTGTGTGTACTCACATGCCTTTCATGGTTAACACAAGCCTCCTGTGGTCCTGTAGTCGGCAGCAACTCTGCTGGGCTTACCACAATTCTTCCTTCTGACCAGCTGAGCCAGTAGGAGCTGTGGTAGCCTTGTCCCAGATGGATGTCTCTCTACATATTTTACAAATCACAGTTTGACTCTGTGCCCTTCAGTCCTAAATATAAAACAAACCTGTTAAAACACTGCATTGGCCAGTAGCCACAAGGCAGTCATGGCTGGTGCTAGCATTTGTGTGTAAGGAACTTGCTGGCCCAGTTTTCCAGCTAGCGGTAACATTTACTCTATTGCCTCCTGTCCTGCCTCCAGATTCAACTCTGTTATGCTAGTGTCATCATTGACTTCAGTGGAGTTGAGATTTTAAGCCAAGATCAAAATTTGACCCTATCGACATTTGTTAGCGTCAGTGAAAAGAATCTGAATGCTTCAGATCCTCTCTTTGCTTAGCTCTAATATGTGCAGTTTGTACTTGTTCAGCCTGTACTTCTTGGCCAGGCATAGACATTTCACTTTTACTGGTATAAGTGATCAGAAACTGGTCTGTACCCACAACAGAACAGAAGTTTGGCGCACACAGTCTGGTTTAAAAATGGTGGAGCCCTGTCTAAGATTTCCTCCCTCCCCGCTCCGCTAAAAGGTGAACGTCTGCTCTGTTCACTATTGGTCTAAACTACGCCGCTTACAGAAAACTGCATAAGTTAGATCAATTCCTCCTCAGGCTTTTTGAATGTCTGTACGTAGCCCTTAAGTGAATATAGCTGAGAATTCAAGGTAGAGAGCGAGGGGAAATGATAAATCCACTGATTGAAAAATTATAGTCATTGCCATAGTATGGCATTCACTGGATGCCAGTGCTGTTACATGGGCAATAAGATCCATCTCGCATGTTGGATGCAATAGTTCATTTAAGATACTAAAAGAAAAATGACAGCATGTTTTTCAGGTGATTAACACCAAAAGTGATGGGGTGAGGTTTATGGATTGCTTCAGTTCATCAACTGTAGCTGAAAGCAATCAAGGCCAGATCTGAAAAGGTTATAAGGCACCCAAGTCCCATGTAAACATCTAATTGCCCATTGACACTGAAGAGGTTTTAGGAACTTAAATACCATTTTTACTTCTGGCCCTAAGACTTAGTGGTTTTGTTCTGGTTAGGGTCATCGCCCAAATGCTTTCCTGTGCTTTTGAGGAATCTGAATTCATGTACAAATCAACCAAATCAACCAAACTGGGTCATCTGTCACTTCATTGACACTAGACGTCAGAGGGGTAAAAGAGTATGTGGGGACTGTTCTTTTACTCATAAGTTCAGAGGACTAAGTCATCCCACTTGACTGAGTACAGCTGTTGCTGCAGCCTCTGCTCTACCCTCTCTTGCTAATTCCCACCTGTGTCCTGCCCTCTTAAGGCTGCTCATTGCTAGAACATGGAGTCAGGTTAAATAACTCGACGTCAAAACACCACTGCAGGGTCGGTGTGAACTGGGGCTGTTGGATTTTTGTCACATTAACTGGAGAAATATTTCAACACAGCACCCTGCTCGTTTAGCCTCACATATGTGTACTCTGCAGGACTGTGCACTGTTAGACATACCCTCAAGGTTAACATGACCAGCTGTTGTGATGATAAACTTGATTTCTCCCAGTCTTTAATAACACCATATAAGTTAACATGAGTCAGCAAGGTGCTGTGCCTCAGACTGCATTTTCAAACAGGCTCTCAGCTTCTCTCTTTTTGTCATCCTGTGCCCTCTCTTCTTTTTTTGCCAGGAAATGAATGGCACAACACTCTCGATTTTGGCACTTTTTTCTGCAGAAGCAGAATGTCCACAGAAAATCATGCATTTCCTTGCATCCAGGTTAAAGAAGCACAGCTTGCAGGAACATTTGATGATAGTTTGCTGGCAGTAACAAGTATCTGGACCAATTTTTCCCTCCAGCACTGGAGGGAAGGGGGAATACATTTTAAGTGCAAAAATCAGGCTCATCCCTGAAAATTTAGAGGCACCTGAGAGCAATTTCCCATTCATAGCTCCTGACTTGTGCTTCTGCAGACAGCTGGGAACAGATGCCTGTCTTCTTGCATGGAGGACAGTAACACATTTGCTAGGACAGATGCCCAGCTGTATCATTTGCCAATGCAAATGGGATCATCCTTTTTGTTAGCCCTGTCTAGAAAATAACAACAACAAAGCCCAGTGCCATTGAGCTCCAGGTGAAACCAAACCCCAAATGTGCTTTGATATGTAGGCCACCAGCCCTTCTGTGGACAATGTCAGTGGGCTCCAGGGCAGGGTTTGCAGAGAGAAGGGAAGGGAATTTCTTAGCAGAGTCCCAGGAGACACAATAATGCTTTTGCTTGATACTGTGACTTGACTACAATGTGCCTATTAAATAAATAGGCAAGTAGCAATTTCCAGCAAAGAGAAGGCTAGCTCTGGTCCATTAAACAGCCAGTGGGAGTAATATGATCGAATAGGTGGTGTGGAAGGGGATGGTTTTATGGAGAGTTACCACCTGTACAGTGTAAATCCAAGAAAGTCTAGAGACAGGATTTCCTTAAACATTGCTCAGTCCATTCTGGGAAGTGATGACCAGTCAGCACACCCAGCAGTGAGCTACCTCTTGCCAGAATTTCCCTGGAATCACATATATTATATGTGTGAGCTCCTGCCAGGTTGCCAACTCTCCTCTCATCATCATAATCCCTTCTAGACCATTTTGAATTGCTCTGATTGTTTTAACAGAGAAGATAACCAGGCTCTCAGCAGAGATCCAAAGGAGATTATGGCCTAGGGAGTAGTAGATAGTATCATCCTTGGGCAGGCTCGTTGTTGTATTAACATGTTTATGATTATTTCAGGTCAGAAACACATCTGTACTGCTGTTTTTCCACAACGGTGGGAGTGATGGCACCGAGAAAGGAAATGCAGCTATAGATGGATCATACTTAGCTGCAGTCAGTGATGTCGTCGTTGTCATTGCAAGTTACCGTGTCGGCGTTTTTGGGTTTCTTAGCACCGGTAAGTCACGTCCTGCTGTGAACCCCTGAATGTAGGGAGAAAATGCAACAAACCAAATGGCATGCTATGGCATGGGGGTGGGGGGTGTTCTCTTTTCCATTAAACCTATAGCTTTGAAGAACTGTCCGTAAAATGCATTTCAGGGATGCTGGCAAACTTGATTCAAAGTGGGGAGCAACTTGTGCCAAAGGGAGGAAAAACAACTGGTCCACCCCAGGAGTCATAGGCTTGGAATGGACCTTGGGGTCATCTGGCCCTGCATGAGTGCAGGAAAGTTACTCCTAAATTATCCCTGCCCGATGCTTACCTGGACTCCGCTTGAAAGACTCCAGTGAAGATTTCACAGAACAGCAGCTTGATTTTCATTTCAGATAAAATGATGGATCCATTTGTACAGTCACATGTATCGAAGAGCTAAAGCCCTCCTGGGGGTGGGATGGCTAACAATAGCCTGGTCAGGGTGGGGGTGGTAGGAAAGTCACAGCCCAGGAGCTGGGACAAGTGGCTGGACTTTCCCAGCCCCAAAGCTGCACTCTGAATGTGTGTACATGTGTTCAGGTCAACCAGGCACAGGTTAGCATGAGCCTTATAATGCACCTCCTTAGGTGAACTCAGTTAGATTGGGCTGGCGATTTTTTTTGCCCGATTTAAACTCCCTAAACCTATGTACAGTTCAGCACTCAGGCTGACCTACTCCAAAGTGTAATGTCTTGTGTTTCATATTGCACTCATCAGTCTGATCTGCTTTGCTTATGGAGTCTTCTATTTCTAGATCTTCATACTGAACCTCAGTGCTTTATTAGCCTACCCAAGGAAGATCTGAGCAGGGAATTGCTCTTTTCCTGCCTGTAATTAAGGCCTTTGTATCTTGCCGTGGGATCCTTCCTATGGTCTTAGGGGTTGTGGCTTGTGTTTTCATTGACACTGGCTGAGGTTTGCAAGCTTTGGACTTGCAGCTGCAGTTGTCACCTGGCATTTCCTTTCCAAGGCATCAGGTTTGGTTTGGAGTTCATTTCCAGCAATGCCTGTTTTTAATTATTGACTACAGCAACAGGCACCGTGGACTCCTTTTTTCACTTAGGTATAAAGTTAGTAATATCTGTATCTAGGGAAAAGATCATAACTTTTATTTTTCTGTAAACTGGATGCTTCTGAAAGTGATACTTAGCTCTGGCTATAGCCAGGCACAGAGTGGATATATATTGTGCAAGTTTCCATTATGTAGCACTGCCCACACATCTCCCACTAACCTCCTTCAACCCCATTTGCCTCACCTAGGTCTCTTCCTGAGTGGAAACTGCTAGCTGGGCTCAATATTGCATGGGTAATGCCTGTGGTATGGTCAGGCCTCATCTAGGGAATATGAAGTGCTCCAAGCTCATGTGTGCTTGGGGTTTGAACTCAGTTGGGGTTTGAACTCAGGCCTCTACATGGGGAGGAACCCACTGCCTAGACAGCAGGGTCTGAAATATTCCCTCTGTTGGGGCTGCAGGTGGCCATGTAAGGACAGACAGCGACAGCACCATGTGCAGGTGTGTTGGGAGGGAAGATGCATGAACCTCTCTCTGCTCCTTTGCACAGTTCACACAGAGCCCCAACCAGCTGCAGATTCTGTATTTGAAAAGACACAGGAAATGCTCCCTCTGCTTACACCTGGGGACCCATGTTGCTCTGAAGGGTCCATGCTCCACATCAGCCTTTAGAGCAGGCCAACTGCACCAGACAGCCTGCTGCCCCTGAGCCACTTCTGTATGTCGGGGAGCAGTGGGATGTCCCTGAGCACTTCCCTTCCCTCTCCCCGCTCCAGTGACATCCTCAGTGCAGGCCAACGCTGTATGGCATTGACTCAGGTATCAAACTCCTTGTCTTAAGAGGTGTAATTCTAGGGAAGATTTCACACATTCATTGCAAGTAGAACTTTTGCCATTTTATTAGTTACTCATTGTCTTTCCATAGCACAGTGGAGATCTTCTAGGGGCCATTGCTGTATATTGTAGCAACAGGACATTACAGCTAAGGATTCCTGAGCTTGTCCTGATACCATGCAAATGTTCACCCAGAGCATATACTAAACCCAAGTAAAACCTTCTGTTAGGTTTCCCATTCCAGGGACCTCGAGACTTTCCTCAGCTGAACTCCTGGCCATGCTGAAGTCAGCTGGAGTTTTGCAATTGATTATAATGGGATACAGATTTTACCTCTTCGTTTCTGATTAAATGTAGAAGTATGAATACCGTATAAAGGCCGTCAGCCCACAAACTAAAGCCCAGTCCTACGAGCTGTATCAAGTTATTTGCCCACAGAAAGCAAATTGTTGCGTCCCATTGATGTTTGTTTGTCATACATAGAAAATCTGGAAATGAATGGGTTACAGCTCATTGTTTTTACGTGAGAAAAAAATGCCCTCCTTTCTTTTCCACTGCCAGATCTGCAGTTGTCCTTGATTCTCTTATGTGGCAGAGCTGCTGAGGAGCTAGGTGGGTCATGGCTCTGCATGTGCTGTGGGTGGTTTGTGTAGAAAACACCTGGTTTCCTGCACATATTGAAAGGCCACTGCTGTGTGCGTAGGTGACTAAGGATATAGGCAAAATAAGACAAAAGATGAATTTCTTCTTTTATGACACAAATGATACCTTAGTTGTTAAAACTGAACAAATTGAAATTTTTTTTTTTTGCATGATGTGTTTTCAGTTTGACATTGAAAATAGACTGACCAAATCAACTTTTATTAATAGGTTCTTCCTAGCTAATTCAGTGTTTAGGTTCCACTGCAATAGTACAGTGCTGCAAGGGTACAAACAGCACTATGGGGAGTGTTGGCTTCCTAAAATATTAGTTTTCCATTAGAATATTACTTTAAAACCAACTAGCCTGCTTGTTGTTAGGTTTTCTTGAAATCCATTACATTAATCCTAAATTTGGGACCAAATTTTATGTGCCTATGACCAGAAATATGGGAAGATATGAAACGCAGATTTCCACAGGACTCGGGCTGGTATCCAGCAAAGTCAAAGTGAACTTGGCTACTGCTTTAAATGAAAACAGTATCAGATTTTCAGGCATTCATCTCATAAACATTTATGTATGCACTTAACTTGAATTCCCATGGAGCAGGATTACTCACATGCTTAAAGCTAAGAACATTTGTAAGCATTTCCTAGGATCACAGCCATGGCCAGGTACAAAAAGTTATTAGGTACCTAATTCCTATTTGGGCATTTAGACATCTAAATGTCTTTTTAAATCTTGCCCTTAATGACTAATGCAAGTGCCTGTGTCTAATGTAATTACTGTGTCTTTTTGTGGTCCTCAGGAATGTCTTCTTTGTCTCAAAACAGATTGTTCATGCGATTTATATCCAAGGCCATCACCCAGGCAATTGAAAAATTCCCAGTGGACGCATGTCTGACTACTGTAAATGTCAGTGCACAAATCTCGCCTCGCTGAAGGTCGTTAACTATGTTTTGCAACCTTCCGCTTCTTGCCAAAAGAGAAAAGTTGGTTGTACTTTCTCTGTAGTTTTGCTTTCCATTGGACTGGTGGCATGGTTGATCTCTGTGGATAATTCATCAACATGGATTTCACTTCCTTAGCAGAGCCCTCACGAGGCTTGCAGCAATTTTTAAAAATAAGCTGTTCTATTTAAGATAGGTGACTGAATCTAGTACTGGTGTGACAACACTGGGAACTGAAGATTTCCATTTGCAGAACTGGTTCAACAGAAACAAGAGGCAGTGAAGCTTTCCTCTGCCTCTCTCTCTCAACCCGGTTCAAATAGGTTGTTTCTAAAGGCAAGAAGTCATAGTCACTGTGTCCATTTAGTCCTTGGTAACAAGGACTGAACTGTTCTGGGCAGTTATTACAGGATGAAAGTTTCTAGTCTTGTAATGTCTTAGACTGAAGTTGAGCCATCAACACAATTGAAAGCTTACTTATCCCATTATCAGTTCATTCCCCTCTGTGTTTTTGTTGGTATTTTAAAGATGCACTATTTTGGCCTTGGCAGCAGAAGCAACAGTTTGAAAAACATTGCTAATTATGGCTGTTCCATCTACTATGAAAAACCCTCTTCTTTTCTTAAATGTGAAGATTGCTAAGATAGGTGGATAAATATAAATGGCTCATTGTAAATTGGAGGCAGAGCAACAAATGGTTATTTGTTCTTCCTTTTGACAGGTGCTGCAAATTGCTTGTTTTTGCTTCTATTGCTTCAAATTCTAATTTTGCTACTTAGAATTTGTCATTGGAAACTAAAACCAATACCACCCCTCAGTTGAAATATCAGATTATTCACAAGGCACTGTTGCGAAATCATCTGTTGTTTGGTTAGTGGTGGCTGAACCTGGGGCATGTGTTCTCAATTTTTTTCCATTGCATAAGAGTGGGGAGTCATGTAATCCACATCGTCGTGTCAAACCTCAGTTTGGGCCAAACTCAGGGGTGATGCATGAGAGGGGGGTAGGTTAGAGGACTGTAAGTGTATAAAGGAATCCAAGGTGTTTTGTCTTTGGCATATAAGGAGCAGAATGGGGTGTGGGGAGTATATCTGGAAGATCATCTAACAGAAGGATGTAAGTAGGTGTGCTTTAGAGTACATCTTCAATGAGAAGTGCAGATGCTCAGCATTTTTGAAGCTTGAGTTACTTATTTAGATACCTAAATATTGCTTTAGGAACAAAACATTAGCACCCACAGTAGAAAATCTTGGCCCCAATCTATAGCCAGCAGAATCATTTCTGGAATGTTTAGCTCAGCTGCTTTTCTTATGTTATGAAAGTAGTGCTGGGAGGTACAAGAGTTGTTAGTGGCACTTGTTGCAAGATTCTGAATGATTACTGTAATGTTTAAGTTTTAAAATAAAACTTGGTAGAGCTTTGTGACTTTAACTGAAACAGGAAAGTCCTAAATACAAAATGAAAATCTTTTAATGTTTATGATTTTTCCATTTGTAGAACGACGCTGACATTAATATTATTGCTAAACAGAAACCTCTTTCTTTGGCAAATCTCTGCAGCTAGAAGAACGATTACTTTTATTAGTTTTGTTTAAACTGGTGATTCTTATATTTTCATTAACTTTATCTGGGAATGTATTGGAATGCATTGCTAATATTATCATGATGTCCATCTATATGCTGCTGTTTTTGCAGCGCGTTGTTAGCCTGGCTATTTCCAACCATCTCCAGCAGGTTGTCAAAGAATGTTTGAAGTTCTGGGCCCATTGAAATGAATGGTGAAGCTCCTATTAATTTTAATGGGAAAAGTTTTTTACCCAGTTTCCTTACCTTAACTTTACTGCTAAACTACGCGGTGATACTCTCAATGCACCTCACAGACCTCAGTTCTCTTATGTGTGATCTTTAGACCGTTGGACTGGAACATGGAAGACCAAAGTTTCATTCCCAGTGACCTGCTTGGGTGATCATGGGCAGCAGGCCAACCACCCTATAATTCAGATTCCCCATCTTTAAAATGTAATTCATGATGAAGACCTCCATTGCATAGTGTTTTACATTCTGGTGATAAGCACGACAGAAGACCTAAGCAGTTGTTATTGTTCCTAGTTTATACTCCCATTTTTTCATCATCTTCACTGACTTTTTGTCTGTTTTGGTAGAGTTAGGATGATACTGTAGCTGTGATATCCAGGAAAAATGCCAGAGGCAAGGATTTTTGTGGTTAATATTTTTTTACTGAACCAATTAAATAGTTGGAAGGATGTAGCAGAGACGCCCCTCTGTTTTTGTCTGTTATGACTTTATGTAAGGATTATATCAAAATTATTTTATTCCAGAATAAGGGAATTGAACAAAACAAAAATCAGATCTCCTCCTGAGAGCACAGTGTTTCCTCTCTGTACTAGACTGCATCTGAACAGGGAAAAAAATGGTAGCAGCCTGTAGCAGACTCTTAAAAGTGCACCATTAGTCTTTGGTAACGCTGCACCATTAGTTTTGTTGTTATAATATCCATGCCCCATATCTTCCCATTCCAATTCAAACCATACTTAGGGTTTCTGGTAGCATCCATGACTTTGCTCACCTGCACTGCCTCCTTGACTTCTTATCTGCCTTCTGTCCTGCTCACTCTACTTGTCTAATGACTCTCTACAGTTGAGTGGGTCTTGATTTGTCCTATTCCATCTAGTTGGAAACCACAAGTAGAGTAGCCATGTTTATTTAGTGCTGTGTCTGGAACAAACTGCTGAACTAATACTATTTCCAGTTTTGGAGACAGCATGCGTAAAGCAGCATGGCACTGCCTGGCACAATAATTTACACGTATCCTAAGTTAATACCTTCTTGGGATTCTCCTGTGTAGGACCAAGTACCTATTCAGAAGATAAACCCAGAGGTTTTCAAACAGGCATCCATAAGTGTCAGAAACATTTCTGACCGGTTGTGGTTTTTCTGAGTTCTCTGTAACAAAAGAATTGCTCTATAATTTTTCCAGCGTTAAAAAAACAAGTGAAGTCTAATGAGGTTGAGAACCACTGCCGTAGCTGAGTTATCTCCAGGTCAGGGCAGGCAAAAGCATGTATGGTAATTACCCATACTAGATCTGTTGGGCAGATAAAGATTTTAGTTGCTAGGGCTGCTATTCTGGCAATGGAAAAAATCTCAAGGGATGTTAATATGTCTCAATAGAGTCCCCAAGCTTTAACTTGTAAAATGGAGGAGGCTCCAAGGGGAAATCTCTATCTAGTGACAAGTCTGAGAAGCTCTTGACTCTTGAGTTCTGGTATCATTTCTATTTAGACCTGACAGTGGAAAGAGATATTACAGACAATGTCCTGCCACTTAAATTGACCCTTTTCTGTGTCATGGCCAGATTTCAGGGCAAATTAAAAATAAGTGCAGCATTTATAGACCTTTAGCCACATGAAAGAAGAAGAAAATTGATGTCACATTTGCTTGCACATGAATAAATGCCATTTTCCCAATTCTTTTTTAACAGGTTCTCAGGTAGCAACTGGCAACTGGGGCCTTTTGGATCAGGTGGCAGCTCTGAGATGGGTGAAGAAGAACATTGCTAGCTTTGGAGGAGATCCACGTCAGATTTCAATAGCGGCTGATAGGAGCGGAGCAGACGTTACCAGCATCCACCTACTTGCAAAATCTGTAGATTCAAATCTTTTTGAGAGAGCAGTGTTGATGGTGAGTCCCATTCTTCTTTATTTCATTAGTCAGGTACCAGTCAAAGACATACTAATGAAAGGATAACATACCCATGAATACATTTGGGGGATGTCATGGAATGTGCATGTTGGCTTCATTTTATGCAAGCATTGGCCCTGCTAAAGTAAGTATGGTTAGCGTTACTGATTTCACAGTAGCACCAAGAAATTTTAGCTGGGCTCCAAAGAGCCTAGGCTCCTTACAAACAGGTTATGACATTTTCTGAAGTGACTGATTAAATCAAACTCAGATTTTCATTCTCATCATTGTGGTTTTTCGTGGGTTTTATAAATAGATCACTTTCGTAATGTATAGGTACAACAGGTTAGTTTCCATTCTACAAGTATAACCATTGTTCAGCAGTTTTAGCTGTAAAGCTAGTCAGCTAAATAGCTGGTCTATATGAAGGATCCAGAGTTGCTAAATTATTTATCCAGTCCCATGACACATACAATTTTGATTTTAAAAATAAGTTTCAAGTCCATGTGCTTACAGTTCCTATTTTTGTTCTGTGATCATATGTCGTGTAGCATTATACAGCAAAAGAGTGGTCCCCAACCATCTCACCTTCATGTTAATGTTTAGAGATGTAATGATGATTTAAACTCGGAACAGTGTGTTATTTGTATATGTAATTACTATAGTTTTTCTTGTAAAATGAATGATTGCACTAGCAAATGGTCAAGTAAGCAAAGGGCAGAAAGGCCAGTGGCCTAAGCATGAACTGTGTTGCATCTTTTTCACTTAGTAATGCAGAATTGAGTATTTTGCTCATCCCCCTCAACCAGACTTCAGTTTTGAGGATTGCTCCTTCGTTTAGTCACAAAATTCTACATAATTGTGTCTTTCTACTTTTATTATAGAAAATTAGTCATGTCAGATGTAAAGACTAAGTCGCTTCAAGTAATTTAATTTTTCATTATGCATCAGTTTTGTATGCCTCATTTTGGGTCTTTGTTAAGCGCTAAATTACACTTTTACATCCTGATAAATGGAGAAGTGTTAATTTCCTAAAGCTTTTTCAGTCATGAAAGCTGTACCCAAGAAAAAAGTTCACGTATGTATATCTACTCTGTAAGATATTTAACTTGAAATTGCTTTGGAATTTGACTGACTTAAGCCGGCGCAAAAATCTGTGTGGACACGTTGTATTTGAACCTCGTTTATATCAATCGAGACTAACATGGTAAGGAATAGAGTTAAACTAAATTGCAGTGATCTGACTTGAACCAAATTAAGAGCATCTATATAGAATTTGGTGCTGGTCTAACTAAATTGGTTAATACCCAATCTTTCATTAAAACAGTGCAGCTATGGCGTAGATTAGGGGTCATTGACTTTCTAGGCACCTTAAAAGTGGAGGCTTCTTTTTGAAAATAGGTCTTGCATGCTTCTGAAAAATGTAGGTAAGGCCTAGCTGAAACCTTAGTTGTTAACCTCAGTCCTTGATACAAAACTCTGATCGGTAGGGCAGTGGTCCTAAGTGATGGCCCAAGCCAACAAGTCTTAATTAAAAATGTCATTAGTCTCTCTGATCAGAATGAGAGTGGTGCTCAAGCTGCAGAGTAAATACTAAAATGCTGTCAATATGATCTTGTTAGGATTTTTCTCCTTTCTTTCTCAAATGATAGTCGTATGATGAGATTTTGTAGGTTCTAGTAGTCTGATCCTGAGACTGAGCATTATAATACCTGTATCTTAACCCCTCTGCTTAGCAAAGACCCTACCAAGTTCATGTAAAATTTAGCTCTGCACCTGAATTTAGCCAAAAGGCTGATTATAATGAAAAAAAACAAAGACATCATTTAGAAAATTGTAATGCTTTACATATATATTTCTTTGATTAAGACTTGGACACCTTAATAACATTAACACTGAACAGTAGTAATATATTAAACTGTACAAACAACTAGAGTTCCTAAGTTCCTTCCCTTCTGTGATGGTCAATGTTTGTAAGTAAATTACATTCATATGTTAATGTTCCCTAATGTGCTAAAACAAGCTACGAACTGTTTGCATGAGTCACGGTGAACTTTTAGCACTAGTGTAGCTGATATTCTGCAAGACCTAATGACAGGCATAGCCAGATTTGTGCTAGGAGGCATGTACAGAAGATATATGAAAAGGAGCTGATCTCTACTGCTTTAGCTCAGGTGGTCACCGAGACCCATGCAAAGCAGATATAAAACACTACCAAAGCAAAATGAATCATTCTTGATATCATTTTGCATCTTTGGATGTGAAGGACTGCTTAGAGCAGAAGGGAGTAGCAAAGCAGACTGGAAGGACTCAATTGTCATCTCATTTATAAACATTAAAAAAAAATGCATGTTTTAAAGACATAGGAGATAGTCTTATCCGTGAAAGATAAGATGGCCCAGTCTGCAAGTTACTAGGATGGGTTTACATAGCTCTTTGCTATTTTATGCATCTTTTTTAGACAAGAAGGTCAGAAAAGTCTGCTTTGAACATGTTGCAACAGATAGATCTACATGCTAAAAAAACTATAAATACAATGCATAAATATTTGCAGCTTTCGAGGGAATAGGTTAAGATCTGAATACCTATACAACTTGATGCCTACTGCAGTAGGTAAGCCTTAATCTGACCATACTTTATATTTCAATTAAAAAATGTTACCTTCCTAGTAGGTACATTTATCCTGAGCAGCTGAACTCTACTCTGTTACACCTGTGGATCCACCTTGAAGCCAATTAACTCACTCAGAAGAAACTCCCAAATTTAGACTCAAGCTTGTGATTCCTTTGTGATGTATTGGTATTGTCAGCAGCTGGGTTAAAAACTACCAGAAAACAGTTTCTAATTCTCCCCTCTCCCCAAAGAAGGAGAAATTTGCATTAGTGAAGTTCAGAATCAGGGAGACCAAGAGATTTTGAGAGGAAGCTAAACACCAGCAGGCTTTTAATTTCTTAAGTCCCGGACTTCTGATGCCATGAAGGTGGAAATAGAAGTAACTTTGTATCCAGTTTTCTTATTGCCATCAATCTTCCAGAAAGGCAGGAAAGGTGCTGAATTGCATGTCCCATCCTTGCTTCGTGCCGGTGGGCCAGATACAGCCGACCTACATAATCAAGAAGAACCATTTTGGTGTGTAACCATGCTAGGCACTGTTTGCTTCTGTGAATGGTGCCAGTACAAGGCCTACTCGGAGGATGCAAATGGGTCTATAAGTAGCACCAAACCTTGTGCTGAACCTTGGTACAGTGACGGATTTCACTTTTATTAGAGTCATCTGTTCACGTAGTCATTTTTAAAGTTTATGTAGAGTCTCTGTCTCCACTTCAATTTCTTTGTGAGCAGATTATGATCGAAGGTGCATCCCTTAGTATGTACACATGCAGTGGCTGAGCTGGTGCCTTGTACAAGGTCTCTGGTTAACATTCAAAACACAGATCGTGCAAAACCAAACCCAGCATTATGAAGTTAGCGTTGCTTCCCTTGAAATGTCCCCTTTGATCACCAGGCAGTTTGCTCACATCTGTGAGCTGTGGAAGGGAGCTGGGCTGTGCAAACATCTTGGCCTGGTTTAACATCTCAGTTCTTTTTTTGTGGACTGATTCAGTCTCAGGTTCAGTCGTCATAAAACAGAGCTGGGAAGTGGAAGTTATTTTTGCGTTTGTTCCCTGTGTATATGAGAGACTGGGTTTTCTTCTTTCTGTTGTCTCTGAAAGAGGAGTTGTCTTCTCCTGCTAGGGACAGATAAGAGGCAATGCTTTCCCTGAGGCCGAAGCTGAGGCAGGAATCGTCCATCTCCAGAGTGCTTTCACTTTCTTCATTATTCATCTGTAGCCTTTAAAAGAACAACAAACTGTTTAACGTTTCATGTATTTACACTGGGTTTATTAGTGCGTTAGTTTATGATATAAAAGAAACAGCGGTTGGCTCATACCTTGCTGTAAAAAGTTCTGTTTCTCTTATCTCTGTACTTAAACATGCCTTATCCTGGCAGTATCTGAGCATCTCCGGCGTATTGAAAAATAAGCTAACCACTGTGTTCTCTCTCTTTCTCTCATTACTTGCACGTGCAAGTACATTAGTGTGTTTTATAGATGGGTAGTGAGTAGTTTGCTGGGGCAAAGCTAAGCTGAAGAAATGAGGTGTGCTTGTTATTTTTGAAAGTGATTATTTCACTGATTACTCTTATTTCCTGTGGAAATTAGCTCCTTTTTGTCTAAGGAGCTGAGAAAATTTCTGTCTCTGGCTTCTGTAAAAAAAAAAAAAAAAAAAATCCACCCCCATGATTGATAATATCTGTATTCTGGTGGAAAGCAACTGTTTTGTGATGATCTGTCCGTGGAGGGATAGTTAGTCGCTCAAGGAAGTGGACCTAGCTGTACACAGGTAGCAATAAGTGATTGAAGCAGGTGGACAGAGGTGTAGGAAAGAGATTTTTAGTGCACATAGAGAGGCCAGCTTTCCATGACGAGAGGCTTATTTTTTCCTGGTAATAATGGGTGCCTGTATATGAGCACGGAGGCTGCTCCGATGCGCTGTAATTATCTGCTGTAATTACAGCGCATTGGAGCAGACTCAGTTAATCGTCTGAGTCAGTGTCCCCAGGCTTCAAAATGGCAGAGGGGGTGCTTGCACTAAAGTTCATCAAAGGCGCTTTAGTTCAAGTACCCCCACTGCCATTTTGAAGCGGAGGGAAGATGATACACGAGACGTTGCAGTGCTTTAATTAGAGCAGCTCTCGAAGCCACTCTAATTAAAGCGCCCCCTCCCCACCGCTGGAGCATGTGTAAAAGTGCCCAATCTGTTCCCCATTCATCTTCTTTCCAAACTAGGCCTCTCCTGATACCTGACCATCATTCTCCAGGGACACTCATAAATCCCAAGGACTTCAAAGTGGGATCTGTATGAACGGGAAGCAGTATAGAAATGGGAATATGCTCACAGTGACCTGTGTTGTTAAGGAGATGGGCCGTCACAATTTGGGCAAGGTGGAGGTTTTCAGTTTGTGTGGGTCCTTTCCTATACATAGCAGCCCTGGATGTCAGCTTCTGTAAACTGCGTGTGTCTTTGTGTGTGCGACTGGTGGGGTCCTTTAGCAGACTTTATTTTACTTGTCATATGTCACCCATAGTAGCCCTTACCTTCCAGTAAAAACCCGTGGTGTTATTCCCCCAAATTTGCTTTGGTTGAACATTTACACTGAGATTTTTCAAAATCGGAGGAGAGAGTAGCATACCCAATTCCCACATTCAAAGGCTCTCATCAGCCTTCATCCTTAACGCTGACTTCAGAAGTGAAAGGTTGCTTATCATTTGCTACAGCTGCAAATGCATTTCACTTTAACACGCACTGAAAACAAACAGGCAGACGTTGCCTTTGCACATAGCGTGTGATACCTGTGCACGTTCCTCCAGCTGAAGTTTTTGTTCCGCATGATCACAGGATCTGCCTGGGTCCTCGCGCCGCTGTTGTTCGCGCACTGTGTGAGGCAGGGTGTGGTAAGGATGCAGCAAAGCCCATCGGCCACCTCTGAAAAGAGAAACAACACAGGATGAGTTTTTATGCAGCGCTGCCCTATCCTTTTTCTCCTTTTCCAGCTGGTAGTTTCTCCACTGAACATTATTGAGGTGGGCCTGGGAGGATCCAGGGTTTTGTAAAAGGGGCTGTGGGAACAGCAACTGGTGCTGCTGCGGCGGCTGCCCACCCTCTCTCAATCCCCCTCCCCTGGGACAGGTAGACCGTGCTCTGGACACAGCTGCTGGGAACTTCTGTTAAGTCCCTGAAACAGGGACGAATTCTCTCCCATTTTCAGCACCCTCTCCCGGTGGGGTGGGTGGTTTCCTGGGCACACTCCTGCCATGTGGTCTGAAAGGAGAGTGCCACTCTGCCACTGCTCCTTGCTTTTGGATCCATCCTTCGGTATATGTTTGGGGTGGACACTTGCACACTGTGCATTGGGGCACTGTTTAGTGCCCTGGGGGCATTACAGCAAATGGCATTAGGTGGTTTGCTTCTTCATATGTGGACCTTTTACTTTAACATGCCTCCAGTTATCCGTGAGCCTGATTCTCCTCTCACCGCAGTTTTCACATTGCTGCATCTCTCTTGGTTTTGATTTGCAGCTGAGACCACTGTTTCCCTTAGTGATACCACTGCGCAAAATTCAGCTCAGAGTTTAAGGCCAAGTGAGGCCTGTGCACCATTTCATGCAGCTCTTCTGACTGAGCAGCATTATGCTGTCACTTTGCACTGTGGCGCATGACTATGCTAGAGATAAGGCAATGGAAAATCAGGTGGCTAGTGTGTACCATACCTAAATGAAGCATAAATATTAATTTGCCTTTCTCAAAATATGGATGCTTGTACAGATTCCAGTGCAAAAATCAGAGCAACCATTTGGCTGCTTTAATACTAGAAGAGTGAAAATCACTGTAGAATTGCCAGCTGCTCTCTTATTCCATGCAATCTTATTTCATTATGAGTTTCTGCATCTCCTCGCGGGGGCAAAAGTTTACAGTGTATGACACCTGAATGATGTTGATCATTTTAAGCCCTTAATTCAAATATTTTCTTAACAAAGAAGAGAAACTTCTCAACTAACTAAAAAATAATAGAGGAAAATTTTATTATCCTAAGTTATCACTCCTTCCATAATACTGATTAAAAAGTTTCCTTGTTATTCATTACTACTTCTACATGTATGTTATTAAACACTCAACTGTACTTTAGGTCTAAGAATACTTTTTGGCCAACTCTCAGTCTTTCAATCTGCCCAAATTATGCAAATACTGTGGCTTTACACCCTTTCAATGATTGAATTACTGTTAATTGAAACACTAGAACCATTGTTTTTTACAAACATTGCGAGATCAGTTTATTTCAATCCTCCTTCCTCTTTCATTTTAAACCATTCTCATTTTCAGATGCCATAACTGCAGCAGTTAGTTAACAGTTGCACTTGATACGAGTCTGCTTTCTGACCTGAGTTGAACCAATATGAATCCGTTGCAACCAACATAGTCACTTTGGCGTGGCAATGGGAATTTAGTGCATAATGGCTATACTCTTGGGGTGCGTTCTGCTTTTAGTTGCATTGATGTAGATCCAGCAGTAAGCGGCTAAGGGGATTGGAATCGGCAGGACCCCAAGGTAGGTGCTGTACAGGAGTTTAGCATTGCTTGCAAGGCATATTACAATTCTGCAATTGCTGATAGTCTCGGTGGTCTTACCTGAATAGTGATTCACAAGGTCCTCAAGGCACTGAAAGGTTTGCCGTGGAGAGATGTAATACCAGTTGTTTGGCATGCGGAATATTCTGTAATGTTTCACTTGCACGTGTCGGATTGACAGGGAATATAATCCTGGGGAAACAGGAAAACTGAATGATGTCAAGAAGCCACAAACTAAGGAAAATGTTCTAGATGCTGATCAAAGTCAGACGATCTCCAAAGTATGGTACCGTGTTTAGAGGGGGCTTTTGGGGGATGGAGAACTTAAGAAACTCTCTCCATGTAAGTATCTTAAATATAGACAGAAGAAGCATAGGGTCTCTGGGGCCTGTGATTATAGCTATAAGCCCATTAATATCTTTCTCATGATACAATGCAATAGGCACTGTCATCCTTTTCTCCCCTCCTTTCATGGGCCCTGAGGAAGACAGGATTGTCTTTATTGCCCTTAACATGCTTGTAATATTTGTAGTCCTGCATTAAAACAACAATTAAAATCAAGATTAATGCTTTAGGGTTTTAGCTGGTCACCTGCAAGTGGCAGGAAGGAATTTGTAGGCTCTTTCTGCATCCATTTCTAGTCATCCTTTTTAGGCTAAGGCAAAACGGTATCTTTCTCTCTGCTTGAATGGAAGTTGACATTTTTGGGGTATTACCATAGTGTTAATACTGCTTATGTGAGCCAATGATTGTGGCACTCTCCCACCCTAGTGTTACTGATGTTTCCAGCATTGCTTGTTTTGTAGATAATTCAAAGACATCCATGCTGGCTTGTATGTGCTTGTATTATATATAGTTTAAATTTCCAGACTGAAATGTGTGAAGTGAAAAAAGAGAAAATTGCCATAGAAAAGCCAACCAAAAGGAAACGCCTCGGCTTGAAATGGGAGAAAATACGTCATGTTTTCTCACCTTTCCGAGTTTCACTCTCCCTGATCATGAAAGACCCGAACTTGGTGTTGGGAAGTTGTAGGAGTTCCTCTGCTTTCTCTCTTCCAAGCCCTTCAAATAACCAGCTGTGAAAAAAGAAAAAAAAACAACACATTTGGGGATGACACAAGTGAGGCAGACAGCAGCAGGTGGCCCTTGAAGTTACAGCACTAGCCAATAAAAGTGATGGCAAAAATAACACCATGGCCTTCACCAGTCCCTCAACTATTTCCAGGCATGTATCCTCAGTTTAGGAAGTAAATCCTAATCTCCTTTTTCATGCCATTTCATGCATTACTTTCAGCAGGACTACCAACAGGAGAACAAGGAGCAAGGCTCAATGTTATAAGGGAAAGCAAAATCCTTCAAGCTTGCTTGAACTGAACATTAGCACTTTACTAGTGAGAAATAAAAATCACTGGATTGAAACATTTAGAGCTTTCAAACTTGTGAGTCATATTACCCACATTTATTAAGCCAAGGAAAAAGATGCAATTATCTTGATGTGTGAAGCCAAATTGGCTTTTCATCAGTCAAATTCCACTGGGCTTTACTGGTGAGAGAAGAGAATCAAGCCTATTGATTTTCTCCTCCACCTGGTTTGAAATACTAGAATAGGTTACTTGCCACAACGAAGGAGCTGGCCTGTAATGGGGACTGACCTATAATTGTAAGCCATAGGACCTTCCATCTCGGTTCTAATTTGCAGGGATTACATTTTTTAACAATCTTGTTCCTCAATTTTTAGCATTCTCATTTTGTTCCAGCAGACCTGTTTCCTGTAAGAAATCTATTCATCTCCAAGAGTATCTCTCCCTTCCTGCACGCAGGGTGAAATTCCCTGGGTGCAGAAGGTCAGCACAAGGAGCTTAAATCCTACCCGAACCATCTTTGTTTTAAATGGAGCTTAAACAGTACTTAAGTTCCCTGCTGACCTTTTTGCAGGAGGGAGTTCCACCTCTACTTTATGTAAGCTGGATCTCTTTATCAGTCCCTTAAGTTAGAGCCCAAACCACAAAAGTCTAGACCCAGAACTGAATCCGAACTTTTTTTGGAGTTTGGGGTTATTTGAAACTGATATTTTGTTTTGGTCTGAACAAATACTGGATTTGTATTTAGGGAAA